AGTTATAATATATATATATATATATATATATATATATATATATATATACACATTCACATCACGGAAATATGTCTATTTAATTGCATGCTTATCGTCTACTTAACGCTATGCATTAGCTTGTTGATGAATGTGTATATATATATATGTACGCGATGAAAACTGAGATTGCCTACCTGTTGCACATATCCTCTCCCGGTATCTCCTATCTTTCATGGTCTTGTGAAATGTATTCTTTTCATTGGAGACTATCATATTTTCAAGACTTGCTTTACCTTAAAAATTTATTTAATATTATATAACGATGCAAATATTTAAAAAACGGCGACTTAATTTTGTTATTTATACAGTTATATAACACTTTTGTATAACATAGTACATTAGAAACGTAAAGTCAAGTCTTTGCGGTTGTCCTATCTTTTAAATTTTTGCAAACATCTAATGGAGAATAATCTCAAAGTTCACATATCGCGATGATAGCTGTATTTTCCTGGGACTGTCTCTATGCTTGCAATCAAGCAAAATAATTACAGAATAAATGATAATACCGAAATATAGTCTCTCCGTTGCGGGATCAAAGATCTGTATTCAGTGCAAAGAAGGTTATTGCTTACTCTCACACGTACATTTTTAAACCGTTATATCATACATGAGCTTCGTACGAAATGTCATTTCGAGAAAAAGAAAGAGGAATTGTCTTTCAACAATTCTCACACTGTCTGTGAGATAGCTAAATCGACCAGTGCTATTACCATTTGATATTTTCCATTCTATTACCTCATTCTATATATTTTTATTACCTCATTTCTCTCCTATAGATCTTGAAAGAGTAATATTTATTGTAGTAATGATATAATTTGTAATATAAGATTTTTTCAGAAAATGAGTTTAAACGTTTTAAATTACCAAAATGTTACTTTTATAATATTACTTTTAAACGTTATTTTGATATAATAATTTATTAGAAGAATATTAGCTGTTTAGTTTATTTTTATAAAAATAAACGCTTAAAAGCAATTCTTTTTGATATTTTGTGATACTTTGTGATACTTTTGATACTTTGTGATACTTTTGATACTTTGTGATACTTTTTTTAATTAAGGATTTTAGAAATTGTTATATTGCTCTACCAGTGATAAGAACTTTGGAGTTCTTTATACAAAATTTAGAAAGGATAATTTAATTTATAATTATCATTTTTGTATTATATCATTATAGCAAATGAACGATATATTAACTAGGAGGATTTTTTGCTTGCAAATAAATAGTTATTAGTTATAAATAGTTAAATAGTATATTGTAAAGAGATTGAATCTATATCTTGCAAAAAGAGCATTCAGATTAACACAAGTTTAGACAAAAGATCATAATTTTTTAAATTTGTTCGATTGTATCGAAATTGTTCCACTCCATACTTTAATATTATCTAATCTACATAAAGAAGACAATAAGACGATCACAATAAGAAAAGATATCGGGAAACGATTATGTTAGCATTGTTTTGTCCTGCTTTAATAATAATCTATACAAAGGATTTATGTGTCTCATCGCATTTGTCATCATCGTCTCTAAGTTCAAGTCTCAGTATATAAATGAACGAGCGTACTTATAACGTCGTTCACGGTGATCCCAACGAAATTCAAGCCACTCTTTTACTTGACAACCCAACCGAATGTTAACCCTGGTTTTACGATCGTCCCCATTGGCCGGCAAGCTATGCGAACTCGGCTAATATAATATGAACTTATAACCAAAGCCGAAACCTAGGAGCTCTTGCTTTTACGATCCAGCTCGTTTTTAAAAGTTATTTTGCTCGCTTTTAGATGAAATAGTTTATTCCTGGAGGTAAATAGGTTGAAAAAAAGAGAAAGTTTGTGCGCAGGACTAATCACTAAACTTTGAATTGACAATCTTTTCTTTTTGAAAGTAGAGAGAGAGAGAGAGAGAGAGAGAGAGAGAGAGAGAGAGAGAAAG